TGGAGAGATGTCATGCTATTGTTACATCAAACTCTGGCCTTTAATGAAAAGAATGTGGCTTTAGCTGCAGCCCAAGAGTTTGGAGATACCTGGTATCTTAGTTGAGTAAATGATAGGATGCCAGCCGAAGAAAGGGACAAATTGCCTGCCAGTCAGCAAGCTGTCCCCAGTATGGATCTCCACTGGGACCTCGACTCACATCATGGGGACTGGAGTCGCAAACATCTGCTGACCTGTGTTCTGGGAGAACTAAGGAGAATTAGGAAAAAGCCCATAAATTTTTCAATGATGTTCACCTTAACTCAGGATGAGAAAGGAGGACTATGCACCTTCTTCACTGCCATGAATCATGAAGCTTTTATACTCCTGGGTCGAGTGGGGACTTGGAGAACTTTTCTGTCTTATAAGAGGTTTGTAAAACGCACCACTCAGGGCTCTGTAGTAAGAGGTTTGTAAAATGCACCACTCAGCGCTCTGTAGTTAGAGGTTTGTAAAATGCACCAATCAGCGCTCTGTAGTTAGAGGTTTGTAAAACGCACCAGCCAGGGCTCTGTAGTTAGAGGTTTGTAAAACGCACCAGCCAGGGCTCTGTAAAATGGACTCATCCGCAGGACACGGGCGGGAACAAATAAGGAGATAAAAGCCTTCCCAGCCAGCAGCGGCAACCCGCTCAGGCCCCATTCCATCTTGTGGGAGCTTTGTTCTGTCGCTCTTCGCAATAAATCTTGCTACTGCTCAATCTCTGGGTCCATGCCGTCTTTAAGAGCTGTAACACTCACTGCGAAGGTCTGGGGCTCCATTCCTGAAGTCAGTGAGAGCACGAACCCACTGGAAGAATGAACTCTGGACACAGTTGCATCTGCCATCCTCAGGCTCCAAAGTCAGTAAAAACACAGGACTCGTGAGAACTGCTATGTTCACAGGAACACTTTATTACAGCAAAATAATACAATTCAAAATACAAGGGGAAAAAGGCACAAGGGGTGAAGCCCTGGCGAATCCAGGCACAAGCGCTCAGGGGTCCTCCCAAATGCAGCCTCCCGCACATGTGTAATTCTCCAGGTATGAGGTAAGATGGCTTGTGTGAAGTGTCGACCCCCAGGAGAGGGCCCCTGAGCTTTGTTGTCCAGGGCCGTGTTTTGGGAATGAATCATAGACTATGGAACACCTGGGTAACTGACCACAATACTCAGACAACAGCCCTCCTCAGGAAAAAAAAAAGTAGCAGGCATTCACTACAAAGCACTGTGATTAAACTTATATGACATGTTCCAAGGCTGCAGACAACCACAGACACTGTGGTCTGGCATAACATTTTAAGGACTCAGAGCTCTCATCCAGGAGGTAACTGAGAGCCCTACATGAACAATTTTTTTTTTAGGAATGTGCAGGGTTTAAACAATCCAGGCCTGCTGAGTTAACCCTCGATCAGAGGGCAGCAGGGACGTTCAATGAAAGGCCGGACTCAGCAGAGAGGGTAGAGATGGCCAGGTCAGGACCCCAAGGAGCAGCCAGAGAGACTGTGGGGGGGAAACTGAGAGCCTCTGGAGGGGCCTATGGGTGTACCATAGCTGTGAGTTTAACCAAAGCTATTGGGTTTCCCAGGAGCCCAAGAAAATGGTGCCACAGTGAAGGGTGTGGGGAAGTGGCCATAAACATCAGTGGATGTGTGCAGGAGGGGAGGGGAGCCGGTGGGGTTAAGAATGAGGAAAGAGAGCAAGGGATATGGGCATTCCTTACAGAAGCAGGTTCAGCAATAAGCTTTCAGATGCCTCTTGCCTGGACTTCCATCAATATGTCAAAGATAAATTGGAGGTATGTTTCCCATCTGACAAATACCAGAGTGGGGAAGGAGCTGGAGGCGTTGCTGGGAGACAACACCCTGGACGTAACCACAGGCCCTTTTGTCCTCACACTGCCCTGCCTGTCCTCCATCCTCACAGCATGGAGGTTCTCATCTTTGTCCTATGGTGGGAAAAGCATCTGGATCTTGTAACACTAAGAAGACCTCCAGACACGTGTAGGTGGTGGAGTCTACTATACATCTTGCATTTCCAAACAAGTTCTCGATCTACTTTTCATCAATGTGCTCATGAAGCTTCGGGGCAAGTGAAATAAGGCAGTCACCAAACAGTGAAAACAAATCACCTATATACTCATGTCTGGATGACTCCTGGGTTTCAGAATCAAAGAATTGGACAGAGAAGCACAAGCATTGCTGCTCAGGACTTCTGGACACCACACATGGACACTGAAATTCACAAAACACCCAATATAGTAAGACGGAGATCCTCACTTTCATTCAATGTTTGAGGTTCCTTGATCAATTAGGAAATACTAAAGGTCGATTTGTTAAAGAAAAAATACATATACAAAGACACTTGTTCCAGCACAGTAAGGAAGACTTTATCCAGGGCCCTCGTGATAGGTGTAGGGACCAGGGCAATGGGATTTTTGCAGTGGGGAGGGAGATTCAGCAGAACTCCAAATACAGAATGAGAACGTGGGGATTTATAGGCATGCAGCTGGGTTGGGGCAAAGGATGGAAAATCACCAAGAAGAAACATCAGGACTGAGAGAAATCCTGCTTAAGGCAGCCTGCCAGGATTTTTGTTGAAGTTAGACCAGGGTGATCAGATGTCACCCAGGTTACGGTGAAGGACAAGGAACCTGATAAGATATACAGGAAAATCAGACACTCGGTATGGGGAAACCTGGCTAAATCAACACTCCAGAATTCCAGGTAAAACCGAATTTTACAAGACAGTGCAGAGAGAGAGGCTTAGGATAAGACTCAGGAGCCTCCTAACTTCTCGTGAAGCAAATAAGCTTTATCAGGTTGGGACACATAAATGGTGTCACTTTCTGCTGACCAAGCTCACAACTAAATGAAATGAGAACAATGCATCACAAAAATGTAAATTGAACCATATTCTGAATTTCTGAAGATGGTGAGGGGCAGAATGAGCTGAGATGTGATAGATTAGGGGGTCTCCTAATACTGAACTCCACAGTTGGTTCTCAGCCATGTTCACTGAGTTCACTGAGTTCAGCACAGCTCGAGGTTCCCACACGCACAAACACCTGACTCCATGAATCTGCAGCCGGGGGTCTCTGCAGGCTCTGAGGTGCACAAGACAGATCCCACCTCAGAGTCAGCCTCAGGTAATTATCTGCTCTTCCTGTGGGGAGGGGAGGAACAGGGTGGAAGGAGGGCCAGCTGTTTGCTACTCAGGATCTCTGTACATTGAGAAAAACGATGGAAGTGGGGAACACACGTCCTCAACCTACGTTACACTTCCACATGAGATAGGCAACTCCATGCCAGGACATTCTGCAGAATCAAAGCACTCGAGGTAAATGTAGGAATCACCGTTGTTTACCGACTGCATGTTTACTTCTATGTCATCCACAGAAATGAAGTAAAAGCCTGTGTTCTGTATAGAACCCACACAGTGTGGGCCCTGAGTCAGCACCTCCCTGCCCCCACCTGCAGGGGGCACAACGCAGCTGACCCAGGTGCCCGGGGCTGCACTCTGTCTTCCATGCCATGGCTGGTGCTGGAGCCACGTCCTGGGCTCCACTCTCAGGAGAAGAACGAACTCTGCGCTGATCTGAGCAGAGCCACTGCTGGGAGTCACTGGGTCCCCGATGGGAAACTTTGACACGACTCTGACTCAGTGACTTGCTGGACCTTCTAGAACAGCACAGAAGTTTAAGAAAGTTCCTCCCAGTCCTCCTCTCTCTCTCCTTCACTCAGGGACCGACTTCCCTCACATGCGTTCAGATTCCCCAGCCTCCTTCCACTCCCCTCTGCATTTCCACTCAAACGCGTGGACGGGTTCCTTAGGAAACTGTACACAAACGTAACCCAGTCATAGAATGTGCTTCTCCAAAGACCAACACTAATACACATGTGTTGGTAAACCTGTTTATAATACCAGCCAGATTCTACTGACAAATATATGACATGAACTGAATTGACCATGGCAATCACCAGTTTTATGAGTCTCCTTGGCTAGAACACAGTCTCAATTATTAAATCATACACTAATCTAGGTGTTGCTCTGATGGTTTAATATAGGTGTTATCGAAGCCTGCCGTCAATTTTCTCAAGCTAGGAAGATAGCACTAGTTAACCTGGGTGTGCCTGATTTAATTCTAGCAGAACAGAAGACAACACAATTCCCTGATGGATGGCAGGTGCGCCTCTTTCCAAGAACTCCAGTCTGTCCTTCCTGATGGACGGCCCTAGACACGCCTAGACAGAAGACACAACCGCTGTCACCAAGATCTCTCCACACACTGAGGGTCCACGCTAAGCTTCCTCAAAGTCACAGGTGAGGAAGGTGACACAGATAGTTTGAGCAGCTCCACATCACAAATCTAGACAGGGTTCTGGGGAAACTGCTAGATGGAGAAACAACTAAGTCTCTGAGAGGAAACCAGCCCTTAACCTCCCTGGGCACCTGGTCCCTGAGTTAACTGTGTTCTTAATGTGTCCTGAGTGCCCTCTGCAGCCCAGGCCCCTCCTGTCTTCCTGCAGGGACGTTTTTGTCTGGGCTCTCACTGACTTCCCCGCACTGTGTATCTTTTGCACAGTAATACACGGCCGTGTCCTCAGCTCTCAGCCTGTTCATTTGCAGAAACAGTGAGTTCTTGGCATTGTCTCTGGAGATGGTGAATCGGCCCTTCACAGAGTCTGCATAGTATGTGCTATCACCATTCCAGCTAATACCAGAGACCCACTCCAGACCCTTCCCTGGAGCTTGGCGGACCCAGTGCATGGCATAATCATCAAAGGTGAATCCAGAGGCTGCACACGAGAGTCTCAGGGACCCCTCAGGCTGTACCACGCCTCCCCCAGACTCCACCAGCTGCACCTCACACCGGACACCTGCAAACACAGAGACACCCTGGTCAGAAACTGTCGTACAAATCTACTGTTTCTCTCACTCATGTCCACTCACACTCAATTTCTCTAGTTCTCCATAAATCACCTTTTAAAATAGCAACAAGGAAAACCCAGCTCAGCCCAAACTCCATGGCGAGTCCTCTGTGTTCAGTGCTGATCACCGAAAGGAAACACCTGGAAATCTCAGGGCTGGGCTCCTCTCTCAGAGCTGCAGAGTCAGGGCTGGGCTGGTTTTCATCAGCAGAGGGAGGGCCCTATTTGCATGTCTCCTACTATATAGCGAGTTCTGGAAGGGATGCCTCAGAGTAGGCTGTGTCCCAGCATGGATGTGAGTGACTATGCTTCGTAAATAATTAATTCTCATTAGCGTTTCTACTTAGAGATGCACATGAAGTGTGTTCTGTGGGAGTCAATGTTTCCTTCATTTACAGATGTGAATGTAAACCCCCAATCCCACAGTGGCCATGGGATATGTCTAAGAGCTCACATCTGGTGAGAGCCAGTCTCGCTGTCTGGCCTGTGTTTCTCATGGCTGGATCCGACTGCTCCCTAAATTAACTCTAGGACAGAGCTAGAAATTCCGAGTGAGGTTTACAAAATCCTCTTCTTACAATGATATCATGATATTATTTGGCTGTATCTTAGTGTTTTTCTAAGTAATATAGAAAAACTGAGGGTTAACTCACGTGTTGATTCAGCAGTTCATGACTTTTCCGGTATTATTTTTATTTCTCTCTTCATCTTTTTTTTTTTTTTTTTTACCAAATTATACACTTTTATTTGGAATAGTTTTAATGCGGTAATATTGACAAATAACCTTCACACAATATGTTCACCTTTTGAAAAATATTGACATAATCACCATTCACAGAGGAAACAAATCAATCCATCTCACAATTTTCTCTTTCTCCTGCAGTTTCACCTTCCTACACCGTCCCTCCTCTTACCAGGTAGAAGTCAGTTGGGGAATCATTTTTACATGACTTGCAATGAGTATTCACTTTGTACAGTTTGTAAAATGGAATCATACATATTTGCTTTGGCTCGTTATATTCATCGTGAGTACATACATGTGAACTGAACCACGCTGTGGAGCGTATCCAACATTAACTGACTGTAGTAGTGGCTACTGTGCCAATAAATGCTGATAAAGGTGTGGATTAATATTTGGATTGGTTTCAGTTTGTGTGTATTTCAAATAAAGCTGCTGCTCTGCTTAGAGGAGTACACAGCTGAGAAACATGTTCTTAATCTTACAACAACATGAACAACAGCTAAACTAGTCAAGTTGCAAATGAATCACTCTTTTTAATACATCAGGTAATTAAAGTTATAGCACCCAGCGTGTTTGTCAGGGTGTGTGAGAGAAAGAAAGAGGGAAGAAATGAGACTGAAAAAGAAATTCTACATAATTATTAATTTGTGAGGTCCTCAAATGCAGGGACTTATTCCTAACGAACAGGGTCCACATAGGTTGAAGAGGGTAACTTGATGCGCCCACATATGGCTATAGATTTATAACATTAATGTTATTTTCTAAACTCATAAACACTCATACACATTAGAATAGATGTAGTGGAGGGTGTCCAGTGGTGCAATGAGAAGGTGACACTAAACCCCCTCTCCAGGGCCTTTCCCCGCCTGCTACACCTGCCCTGATGCTGAGCCTTGAGCCTACCTGACCACTGAGCCCTACAGTGGTCCTGAGCCCCCATGCAGTGCCAAGTGCCCCTTGAGTTTCCTGAATGGCCGCCTCTGTACTCAGCCCCCCTGCTGTCCTGTGAACTCCACAGGGAGGTTTGTGTCTGGGCTCACACTGATGTCCCCTCACTGTGTCTTTGCTTAAAAATACATGGTTGTGGCCGAGAGCAGTGGCTCACGCCTGTAATCCCAGCACTTTGGGAGGCCAAGGCAGGTGGATCACGAGGTCAGGATCTCAAGAACAGCCTGGCCAACATAGTGAAACTCCGTCTCTACTAAAAATACAAATATTAGCTGGGCGTGGTGGTGAGCAACTGTAGTTCCAGCTACTTGGGAGGCTGAGGCAGGAGAATCACTTGAACTCAGGAGGTAGAGGTTGCAGCGAGCGGAGATTGCACCACTGAACTCCAGCCTGGGTGACACAGTGAGACTCTGTCTAAAAACAAAACAAAACAAAACAACAACAACAACAAACATGGTTGTGTGCTTGTTGCTCCCGTAGCTCAGCCATAGGAAGAACTGTTTTTGGATATAGATCTGGAGGTGGTGACTGGACTCTCGAGGAGTGGGTTGGAATTTGTGCTCCCTTCATGACCTGTGCACCTGACCCACTCCAGTCCCTCCCCTGGGGGCTGATGGATCCAGATCCAGCAGGAAACACTGGTTGTGATGAGGAATCCACCATATAAACTGAACTGTTATTGTCGTTGATACACTAAACAAAACGTGGCACTCATTTTTATTGTGTTGAGATACACATAACATAAAATGTACCATTTTAGCCCTCAGTAAACGTATGGGTAGTGATGATTTACCCATTCGCAGTGCTGTGCAACCATTTCCACTATTTGGTTTGGGAACATTTTCATCACAGAAAAGGAAAGCTCACCTCCATTAAGTGGTCACTCTCCGTTTCCCTTCCCCTGACCTCCTGTGATCTGGGATTTTCCTCCTCTGCAGGCTTCATGTCAATGGGACATTTCAGGATGTGGACTTCCGTGTCTACCTTGGTTCACTCACCCAATGTTTTCAAGGCTCATCCAAGTTTCAGCCTATGTCAGTGCTTCACTCCTCTTTAAAGCTGGGTTAGAGACATACAGACACACCACAGCGCCTGCATCCCTGTGGGTTACAGACACACAGACACACCACAACATCTTCATCCCTGTGGGTTACAGACACACAGACACACTACAGCGTTGTCACCCCTGAGGTAGCCCATGGGCACTTGAGTTGTATTTTCCATTTGACTACTGTGAATGGTGACACCAGGTACATTTGTGTATAAGGTTTTCTGTGAAGACCATTTTCCAAGGTTGTTGTCCCATTTCAATACCAACTGGCAACCCACGGCCATTCCAAATTGAGTATGTCTTTACCTGATTATGTTTTTTCTCTTTAGTTTTGAATACTTGTTTTCTCAGTGTGTTCAAGGCAGTAATCTACAAGGAACTTAAATCAGCAGCATAACCCAAATAACCACATTTCAAATGGGAAAGTGACGTGCTCATAAACTTCTCAAATGCAGACATAGAAGTGGCCAACTAACATACAAAAAATGCTCAGCATCCTCAATCATCAGATACGTGCAAATCAAAACCAAATGAAATCCTATCTAACCCATGTCAGAACTGCTATCAATAAAAGGTAAAAAATTAACAGATGCAGGCAAGGCTATAGAGAAAAGCGCCACTTACATACTTTTGGTGAAAATGTAACTGGGCCCAGGCACTGTGGAAATCAATCTAGAGATTTCTCAACTTAAAACAGAGCTGCCATTCCCCTCAGCAATCTCATTACTGGGTATATACCCAAAAGAAAACAAATCATTGTAACAGAAAAACACATCCACTCACGTGTGTATCACTGTACAAATCACAGTACCATAGACATGGAATCAACCTAAATGTCCATCAGTTATCGACTGGGTAAAGAAAACATGGTTCGTATACACAGGGGAATACTATGCAGCTATAAAAAAAGAATGAAATCATGCTTATTTGCAGCTACTTGGATGCAGCTGGGGTCAAAAATCTGAAGCTAACTGACATAGAAACAGATGATAAGAGTCAATGGGAGAGAAAATGAACATTTTGGGTGTTGCTCTGTGTGAAATTAAGAAAAGAAATCCCCGGGTACACGAACTCTTGAAATACAAAAGCCTGGAGACACTCCTGTCCTTGCCTCCATTTCGTTAGGTTGTGCTTTCTCTCATTTTCATTCAGTTAAAATTGTTTTCCTTTACTCTTGGTCCAAATAGCCACACATAATCATGTAGAGACATTACAATAAAAATAACAAATCTGAATATTATCTAAATTAGGAAAATTTGTTTACATCTTTTAGATTAGATTCCTATTGAAATCCTTGATCTAATACCATCTCTGATGCATCATACATCAGTAACGAAACTGGAGGTTATGCATTCAATTGGGTAGTGCAAACTTTCATTCACAATTTGTTCTTCTACCTGATGTAAAGTCAGTCCGGAAGGCAGAAGTTATTACCACCAACATAGCTCGCCAACAAGCCAAAGACAAGCATTAAAGCCATGTTCCAGAGGAGTGCCTGACTTTGGGATGTGGGATGCTGTTCACACAAAGAAATTCCTCACATCTTCTGGAACATGTAAAAATGCACAACAAAATAACAAATTTTAGATGCACTCCTACATTTTAGAGACCTGACTAATGTAACTTAGAAAGTAAAAACCAAAGGAAAAATGACATGGCATAACATCTAAAAGTATACATATTGTAGTGGGTTATCACACCAAGCAAGCAGTCTTATCAGTCAGGAGTTTATAATATTATCTGAATATGGAAGGCATTAGAATTATGTATACAACACAGCATCCGTCCCATCCACAATCTCCTGAAAATGTTGAAGAAAATTGTCACCCTTAAACTAAAATTGTGAAAACCTTAAGAAAATCTTGAACTTCCTTGGCCAAAGTTTCTCTCCCTAGCAAGACAGCCTTATAGTTAACCCCCTCAGGGAGACATCAGTTATTAGCCTATGATTTGGTAGCTGGAAGGCCCATACATTCAGAGATTTACCCCAGTGCTCACCTCTGTTCTGTTACATGAATGCATGACAAAGTATTGAAAGTGATGACTGCATTTTACCCACTCCATTCATCAACAGATTAAACCATCATTGCCCTACATCTTTTCAATAGCCTTTAATAACATTAAACCAGGGAATTGTATCTATTGTAAGAAACATCAGGGTAGGATATTGCTCTTGAACCACTTTGGAGTGAATTTTACCAGGTACTTTTAACCACAACACAGCAGTGAAATTGCAGAATGTCAATAGTTGGGTTCGTATTTATAAACTGGAAACTAAAAATAAATCCCTTATACCCCCGACTCATTAAATAGTCTATCTCTTGGCCTAGGGAACCCCCAAAAATCTAAAACTGTTTCCAGTCATGACAAAACAAGAGATCACACACGCCTCATTATACCTACTCCCCTTTGTGCTTTAGACACAGCAATGACTAACCCTCATGTTAAAATAGAGATCATAAGAATGACAGAACAGACTCTCTGTGGCAGTAAGATGTCAAAATATAAACAAGACCGAAGGCCATGCCAGGCAAGGATTTTGCCACTCTCTCGTACACTTAAAAGATAAACTATGTTTTAACTGCCAATAGAATATTCCTTTTCTCTAGTGGCTCAGTACGCACGGGCACTAAGACAAGCACTGTGAGGATAATTGCAGCCCATCCCCTGATGAACTGACCCCTGTTCCACAGGCCGTATCTCAGCTTTGATTGAACATTTGATATCAGGAACTTTCACCTGATGAGAGACCACTCACCATGGCCTGGCTCTAGCCATTTGCAGAGGCTGCACACTGAGTGCCTTTGTGTCTCTGCTTCTGCTATTTGCACATAGGGCCTGTCTGTAATGAATTTAAATGCTCAGTCACCACTGGTAAGTGAACAGGGCTCATATGCTACATGCGTGTTTGTTCAGTGTGCATGTGTCAGCACCACCTCCGTGAACATCAGTAGCCCCTCCTGTAACCTGTGGATTGTGTCTGTTTAGCCAACACGTTCAGCATAAAGCTTCTGCCCAACCCCTTCTTGGGAGTGTCAGTCTCTCATCTTTACCCAAACTATGCTTTCCAGCCTGTAGGATGGCTGTAACCCTTGATAAAAATATAGTCTCAGTTTCCTAATTTGTAGATGGTGGTATTTTTTATTATTTAACACAACTGAAGATTAAATTCAGAACTTCATCTGATTATGAGACTACTTAAGTAAAGTATGACAAACTGTGGATATCCTATAAGGATTTTTATATGCCCTAAAATGGCCTGGGATATTTTAAAGCAGGAAGCTGACCTGAGACCTTCAGAACAAACTGATGACTGTGGATAACGAAAAGGCCCCACCCAGGACATTGATTCAGCACCTCTGCCTGTCTCATTCACTCTTCTCTTTCTTTTTATTATGTGCTTACCGTAATAAAAACTTTTATTTTCTTTAGATCTGTTTGCTTTTCACACATAGTAGACACATCTCTCTTTTTCACTCATTTTCTTAAGCTGCTAGAAAGAAGAAAGTGTCAGGTCCTACTTTTGGTGCCTCGCTGCTGATGAATTAAGGTTTATTCTTCCTCCTCCTTTTGCCCCACACATGGGAAATCTAGTAAGAAATCATGGAAGCTCCCTTATTTGATGCCAGTGTGAGGTTTAAATCACACAAGCTCCTTCTCGTGAGTAGAAACACCCCCTCCGACCCCACCATCAGATCATTTTAAAGCCCTGATCCAGCCTCCTTTCCTGTTCCGTTGAGGAAATTCCAGCTTGGAATGTCTTGAGAGGCCTGTGCTGCTCTCAGCAGACAATAACAGTGTTGGTAAATCCTTCCATGATCACCTGAGGTGTGAGTGTGTCACCATCAGACTTGACACCCACACTAATCATTGGTGGGGGTCTCTCTTCTTTTGCATGGGGTCACCTACAATTGGAACTGTGGGCTTGGAGCCCTGACAGTGACCACCACGCGGCCTTTCTTCTCTTGCACTGAATGCTAACCCCCTCTGCCCCAAAGCCCGGCATGCACTTTATCCTGCCTGCTGCCCACTGGCCCTTGGAGTTCTGTTGACCTGGGCTGCCGTGTTGAGTTAAACACTGCACCTTTTCTAGATTTAATGACTAAATTCAGAAGCTTTGATAACTTATTGACATTGAGAAACAGGCATCAGTGACTGTGGGTGACTGTGCCTTTGGTGCGTGTGAGAAAATTTTTCTCTTGTTCCGACAAATGTTTCTTCTTCAGAGACTTCACAGGAAGAACAGGATGAGGAATCCAGAGAACTGCCCCAGAGGAATCTGTTTTATGGAGAGGAAGCCACAGGGCTGACAGGAAACCAGACCTTAACCCCCATCTGCACCTGCCCTGAGGCTGGCTCTGGTGCTCAATGTATCCTGAGCGCCCCCAGGTGGTCCTGTTCCCCCTCCAGGGAGGCTTGTTTCTGGATTAACATTTATATATTTTTTCTAATTGTGTCCCCAAAATGGAGACAGAGTAAACCGTGAATCCGTGCATCTCAGAGAACACAGAACAGCAGAATAACACACCCTGTCCCCG